GGACATTTACCATCTGATTTTGACCGCAAACTAAGGTTTTTGACACATGAACACAGGGGCCACAGTCGTCTGGACATGTCCGTCAGTGGCGTCCGTCGTCCGTGGCGTCCGCCTTCACATCAACCAGGAAGACCAATGTGTTGATCTCCTCAATCCTGTGGCACAGCTTGAACTAGCAGGATTGAGCGCCACGTGAGGATTCGCGCCACATGCCTTCGCCCACTAAAACTCGTCCGATCATGTTAATGACGTTGACTGTCCACCGGTGTGGGAGTGTTGGGCTGATACAATGTTGAAACTTGAGGCGTTCATGTTCAGAGTCCCACCCTGCAGTGATCCCTAGAGAAGCCCACCCAAAAAGCACACTGAGAGTGCGTCTTCACCGCAGCGCATATGGGTTCAACACGAGCGCGTTCCATTAGGTGTTTCCTTTGGCGTTTGTAATGCCAAACTATGCCTCCAGACGTTCTTGGAACATCCAGGATGGTTGCCAGTGCTGGCTTGGCATTGGCAATCGGTTTGAATTGTTGAGTAACCGGTGGTAAAACAAGGCTTGTTGGTTCCGTCACCAGGAGGTCCTTGTGGTGATTACTATATGACCCTGAAACGATGTTTTTTTTTGTCCGTCTCGCCAGAAAACATTGTGCAGAAAAATGCAGCAAGTTCGCGATAGAAAACATGAGGCCAAAATGACGCAGAAGTGACAAAAATCAACGCAGAAGTAACAAAAATCGACACCAAATCTGCTTGTTGTATTGTTCTTTTGAGCTTTGCCTGAAAATTGCACCCACCGGAAAAACAGTCTTTTGCGGGGTCTAGGTATATAATGGCATATTGGCAAACCAGCCTGGCTTAGGAAGCCTGAGGGTCCAGCAGTATGCAGTATGCGTGTTCTTTCCACTGTCGCACTTAATATTGGAGTTCCAGCCCGGAGATTCCAGAGAAAAGCGAGGGGTCGGGTAGTGGTCCTCTTTTCTTGGAAATTGGGTCAGTACCTACACTCTTCCTACTCCCTAATAAGAGCGATGGCCTCCACGTAGGTGTTTGGTCACCCAAAGCTTTCTTTTCGGTCCACCAGTTGTTGGACACCTTTCTTAAACCACTCGTGACTTCCATGCCTTCCTGCTGTGCCACCGCACTGATCCGCGCGGAGGCTTCTTAAGGGTTGATCACAGTGGTTGCTTTGTTGGCGGAAACCGAGTCCCAACCAGAAATATAATTAAATGATGTTTTATATATTTGAATTAAAATGCTTCCCCAGTCCCACCACTAGGTACAAAGTTGGATCTCAAATGCCATATTGGAACAATAATAATGGAACTATATGCGAACCATGCGGACCATGCGAACCGTGCGAACCCGAGGGACCGTGCTCCTCCGCGCCGTCACAAAACAGACTCAAGCCGAGCTGCTTCTTCATGGCAGACTCTGTGGTCACAGGGCACCTCGGAGGCGGACTGGACCACCTCGTGTTCATCGGGGTAACGGAGGCGTCTACTGCGGTTCAAGGATTCCGAGTGGCTGATGAATTTGGGAGCTCACTAACAGCATTCTTGAGTCTTTGAAGTGCAAGCAACGCCTTTGTTACATTCTTAGCATCCTGGCACCTGTTGCATCAAACCAGCCCTTGCCGGCACTTACAAAAGTCATTGAAACTTGCTTTGACCATTGTTGAAGTCTGTATTCCAAGAAGGCTGACTAGGAGCATGAGTACAGCATAATCATATCCAAATACATTGCAACACCTATTCACCTCTTCGCTTGTGGTTTTCAAGAACGAATGATGCGATATATGAACCACGTGATTCAGCTTGCAATCACACCGTGGATTGAACAATCTTGAACATGAACTAATATGAACTTAATAAAAGTCAACTCCATCTACACCCGCCCCACGAAAGACCAGTCTCAGTGCTTTCATCAGCCCGGAAGGGCCCCGTTGGAAAAACACCAGCCATCACCAGCCTTTCTTCCAAGGCACTGGATGATGCGGTACTTGTCCAGCTTGTCCCCCCGGCTCCTGATCTTGTGGAATTCCCCGCAGAAGCTAGGAGCGCAAAACCGCGCGTCGTTTCGCGCGCATTCGACCAATGGATTGGGAGACATGGACACGTACGGCGGCCGAGCAAATCCGCGTTTCGATTCTGGGAACACGATTTCCATCGATTACCCATGTCAGGCCGAACGATTACAGCTAGGACGGCCTAGTGATATACTATAACTTTCAACAATTGGAAAGGAGCCACCTAAAACCCATGCAAACAAAAAGAAGACAAGAAGACTGTGTATGTGTTCTTTTTTACAAGGACATACCGTACCCTTCCACTTGACTTGTAAAGAAATTTCAAACACCTACCCAAATGGGCCATCTCTGCCAAGGCTCTCGACGGACTTGCGTGGATACTTGGGGTTGCGCGCCTTTCGCAACAGCTGAGACCGCGGAGTGAAAGACCCCCCCACTGAAGACCACTGTTTCGGAGCAATTGACTCTGTCCGGAATCCATAACTGCTGAAATCCATAGCTGCTGAGTTGATCCATGCTGATTCCTCCGGCCTTGATCAAGGTCTTCGGCCGGTAGAAGCGGACCTTGGTGCGGATCTTCTTCACCTGCGACACGACACGATCGATGCTGCGGTGTCCAAGACCGGCTAAAACCTAATAACGATGGCCTCCAACCCAATAGCGATGGGTGGCGTCAGATCGACCGACGTCCTCGCCTTCTTGCTCACACCTCCCTTCACAGCCTTTGCGGCCTGTGACCAGGAGTGACACGACTGGAAAAAGATGGAAAAAGATTGGAGGAGCGCTTTTTGGGGTTACACATGGTTGCAGTGTTGTTTGTTGGGTTTTCTATGGTTATCATCTGAGAATTCAAAATCAAACCAAGATTTAGTCTCTGTCAATGTGCGTGCCCTCGCATTGTTGGTTGCTCTAGTCCGGTGGTAACAGGTGAAGCCACTTCCTGGACAAGTTGTCCGGTGTGTCCAATGGAATCCTCACGTCTTGCCTCTAAGCATTTACCGCCACAAACCTCGCCCATCCGAAAACGTGTCCTCTCGAAAGGTTTCCGGCGCGTTTCAAGCATGTTGAAGACTGTGAAGTCCTGACACTCGCGTGTCGGTTGAATCGCCCCAAAATCCAAGCCTGCGCTGAACAAAAATAATAACATTCTCTCCCACGCCTTCTCTGCCTTTTCAGCCTTCTTCTCGCTTTTCTTAGGTGCCATGATGCCGACTGCTCGACCGGACGGGTGGGATCCTTGAGGCGTGCACATGCAAAGCGAGGGACCATGGACCGGTGGAGTCACACCGAAATCAGTCATCCTCAGGTCTCAGGCAAATGATCAGCCCAAACATGTCAAAATCTTAAGAGTTTGTCTATGTCAAAATCTTAAGAGTTTGTCTATTGAACCATATGGAACCCATAGAGGTACCACACACGATCCAGAACCGACACGGATCTTGGATCTGCAGCGGTCTTTCGAGAGTTCTGGTGCAAAAGCCGCCACTGATCTGTGCTTTGTTGAACTCAAGCGACTGAAGTGGCGCAAGCAACGCATTTTTGGGAGATCGCTGGCTGTGCGGCAGCGACGCGACGCGTCGCCCAACCGGGCGACGCGACGCAACTTGCGCGTATGCTGGGCCCCTTTGGAGATGCAAGCTGTCTGGGTGGCCTCCCCGCCCACCAGGTCTGTTCTAAATCAATCATATATATAATCAATCCAATGTAGACTCTTGATTATATAGTAAAAAAAAACCGAGGTTTTACAATCCAAATGGGGAGGTTGATCATCAAGAGTCTACAATTTCATGGACCATGATTTATCTGTGAACAAACATATATATGGAATGGCCGGTCCAACATCTCTCTGGGTGTGTTATTCCTGTCCAAATGTCTCTTTGAGATCGATCCTGCACGCCAAGTTAAACAAACGAAAACGGATGGAAGAACACATCCATCTTCTTAGCAAATCAGGGACAATCTGCGGCCAAAGACCCTACACTTGACAAGTTGGAGTAGAATCGAATAAACAAAATCAAGCGTATTCTAAGGATGGTGCGTTTCGGTGCATCCTTTCATTGACCTATCTGTGTCACACCCCAAACAAAGACTGTGACTGCTCGCTGCTCTCCAAAAAACACCCGAAGACTTGGAGCGTTGGGGCCTGGACCTTGGGTCCAACAGGACTGACTCGTCAGTCATCGCCCATATCTCTTCTCAACCGCTGGGACTGTGGACTGGGACCGAGGCTCTCAAGGCTGAGGGTGTCCAATGCTTAAAACAGAACGGTGCACCAGTTGGATGATGTACTTGTAGGAGTTGGTTCTGCGAAAAAGAACGTACCAAGAACGTCGGAGTCGATTCTGGTGAAGTGGGTTATCAGTGTCCCCAAGAAAAGAAACAAATGGCATGGTCATGAGGCGGAGGTTGGGAAAATATCTCCCACAAGCATGGTTTCCCACGGAGACCTTTTTTGACGCACCATGCCTTGGGCAAAAACTGGGAATGGTTTGTGACAAGCGCCTGGTGCTGCGCTCTCCGGGGCAATATCCAAGTCAACCGCTACCAGAGTCATGGGTTTGACTTCTCAGTACAACAGGTCGATGAACTGTACTGGTCAAAACCCCTTGTTGGGTCACGAACAAGTCAAGATTGATTAGATGTTCAAAAACTTTGGCCATCTCGCAGAAGCAGGGTCCCCGATGTGCTACATTGCTACATGGCAAACCAGCAGAGTATTAGGACTTGTTGAGACCTAAACTCAGGATGACCCATAGCTCTTTGTGTCAAAACGATTGCATGCCAGCAACCAAATCACGAAACATGAGTATAGTAATACATATATCTGGCCCCCAAATACACAGAAACACTTTCCAACACATTCTTACTGGGGATCTACTGTTCTATCTGGTCAAACTGCCAGGGTGCAAGCTAGTGTGGACCGACCCGGTGGTTTCCAATGCACGTGTGTGATAGCCTATCACGACTGGGTGGAAGACAAGGGTGTTGACAACCCGTTTGGGCCGCAACGGTGACCGTGGGGTTTTGACCATCACGACCTGGAACCGCCTTCACTGGTGCTGCACCGGGATACCGCCTTCACCTGGCGGGTGGTGGAAAGGCGACCTGGGGGGGGCTGAACGACGGGATCCACGAAGAAGAAGGTCCGCCCAACCAGTGACTGGTCGCGGTTTGGTCGATGGAGAAGGGCATTCCAAATCACATGGCATGATGCCATGACAAATTCAGTACTTTGGAACTCGTCCGGTGTAGAACCACTCCCACGGTTTGCTTTAGTTGACAGAGCACTAAACATAGAAACAAATCTAAGTAGCAAAGCAGTGAGCCGCCAGAGCCCTGAACATAGAGAGAACAGGAAGCAGTAAGGCATAGTAAGACACTTTTAAGGCGCTTGAAACAGATCCTTGGATCACCAGGCATTGGAACGAACAGGCTTTTGAGGCTTTTGTCGGTTCTTTGTCATTTCTCCATGTGTCTGATTCATTGAAGCAACAAGCCATCTCAAAGTGGCATCCTCAGAAAAGAAGTGACCAGTTACTATTGATATTTTGAGTCACCGCGATTGACTTCTTCGTCTATTTCTTGCTCTTAGGTTGGAGGCCGCTCCAAAATTACTTTACTTCGAAATTCCCCACCCTCAAAGAATTGGTCTTCACAAGAGAAAAGCGGTTCGGCGCGAAAAGGATTCTTTATTGAAAACAAAACCACACATCGAATACTTACTTGTGAGGTTTCTGAACTTCGATATTTAAATGCCTGGCAACCCCACATCCCTGCCAAGTCAACTTGTGGTGGATATGCTGTGGAACTGGTACTTGGGAGCACTCTGGTGAATGTGCTGGTGTAAAGGCTACGCTGGGCTACTCGGGACAACTCTGGTGGATGTGCTGTGTAAGGGCTACTCTGGGCCACTGTGGGCCACTCTGGTGGATGTGCTGTGTTCTTTGGGTTGCTCTGAGCTACGCTGGGACCACTCTGGTGGATGTGCAGAAGTAGCGAGTCTACTGAAGTCCAAAGTTCTTAAAATCTAACAGCCCCACAGTCCTACGGGTGGGGAAAAAACTGCTTTGATAAGTACAATACAAAGTCTACAACTATCCTGCGATCTCTTTGGTAAATGTGCTGTGGAGAAGCTAAGTTGCGCTACTAAAAACTGTGGTTGCTGTGGACAAGCTAAGTTGAACTACTTAGAAATCAGTTTGTGAATGTGCTGTGGAAGAGCTAGGCAGCTAGGTTTAGCTACTCAGGGATCAGTTTGGTGAATGTGGTGTGAATACTCAGAGGTCATTTTGGTGAATGTGCTGTGGAAGTGCTACGTTGAATTACTCAGGGATTACTTTGGTGAACAGGGATCAGTTTGGCGAGCGTGCTGTGAAAGAGCCACTTTGGGCTACGCAGAGATCACCTTGGTGAACGCGCTGTGGAAAAGCTAGCTTGAAAACTCAGGGATCACTCTGGGGAACGTGCTGTGGAAGAGCTACTTTGGGCTACTCCGGGATCTCTTTGGTGAACATGCTGTGGAAGTGCTGCGTTGAACTACTCAGGGATCACTTTGGTGAGTGTGCTATGGAAGAACTGCTTTGGGCTACTCAGGGATTACTTTGGCGAGTGTGGTGTGGAAGAGCTA